CTTAGACCTCACAGCTCGTAGAAGGGGACAGGTGGAATTACTGGATAAAAAGGAATTGAGACCTCAATGGAGAGAGAAGCTGGGGGCACGGAACTATACGTGAGCTATTATCCCTGCAGGTTTTTCGGGCAGTTACAGAAACTCGGCTCGGCTCTTCTCATACACGAGCTGCAAAAAATTTTTTCTTCCGACGGCAGGTAGGGCTGCCTCACGGCGGATAGCGGAAGTTTGAATGTGGCAGATGAGAATGGGGGTGGTATGTGGCGGGTTCGTTCGAGGCAGGGGAGAGAGCTAGGATAGGGGGTTATAAGGACTAAATGGCGTCGATCCTTTGCCGATTGACTAAGTAACGTACATTTGGAGGGGAGAAGGAATCGGTGAAGAACGGAAAGGATGAGGAAGTGTGCTCTTGGGAATTTCCTTTTTATGAAACTGTTGTTTAAGTAAAGCTGTTCCACAAAAACCCGTCATCATTAGGGAACTTTCCTATTTATGAAACTGATGCTTAGGTAAAGCTGTTCCATAAAAACCTGTCATCACTAGGGAACTTTTCTATTTGTGAAACTAATGCTTAGGTAAATCTAAGAGCTAATAAGTTCCATGAAGTGAGCAAGAGCAGGGTAGACTGGATGCACGGGGATGAAGTCAGCCTTCACTTCTGTGAGATTTCGAAGGGAGAAAGTAGGGGTACAACTGTCATGTACAGTTGCAGGCTGCGGGAGGCAACACTGTGAAATTGTCTGCAATTCCTGTGTAAATCCTGTCGAACTTGCAAGCATAAGCTCCAGTAAATCCTGTCAAACTTATTTGTCCCTAGCTTCAACTGAGCATAAACCTAATAAATGCGGGGACAGCTTACTGAAGATAGGTTTCTGCAAGATAAATCCTATTCGCATAAGCTCATTTCTTGTTTGTTTTTGCTTTTTTCCCTTTTGGTTACAGGCTCCAATTCTTTGATTTTGCTTTTTTCCTTTTATTCACAAAATTAAGTTTGTTTTAATTTACTTTTCTTTCTAGTGCCGTGTTGGTCTATTTTCCTCTTTACTGCTCTGCAGTTCTTGCTTCGAACTCCTGACTAGAACCCTTCTTCCCCTCCTGTATCCTGTCCCTAATCTCTGCTTCCAAGGCCGCATCGGGATACCTACCACCTCTAATAAGTGTCACCGTTTATCGTCCTGAACTCCTAACTAGCAGCTTCATTCCCCCTCCCCCCGCCCC